TTTCCGAACTCTGCCCTACTTCTGCTACCGTCTGACTCTTTCGCGGTCTGACTTTTCCTCGAAGGCAATAGTATGCTAGGTCTTGAGTCGAACGGTATACCGCTTGCCCACTTCACACTATCAGGCCAGCATACAGCTCCTTTGTACCTTGAAGCAGGACACGTGTGGATGGGAGCACGTCGGCTGGTGAGCAAATCTATTCAATATTTCTGCTTGTCCCATTCAAAAAGGATATTTAGCTGCGCCTATTTAGATAATGATTTCTGCCTGCATCGCCGTGATATGCATGTCACCAATACATGTTCCAATTCTAAGAAAAGTGGCTGGTCAACCTGTCAGTTAGCTCGACGCTGGGAAGGCAACGTCGTGTGCGAGAATGATCTGGGATTGGGATTGCTCTGTTTGCTGAGGCACTACAGTAATAACCTGGTTGGTAACATTCATCGACTATGACTATTCGTCGTGCTTACGTGCATCTAGGTACTCTCAAGAGGTACCTATTCCACTCTCCACTCTCCTCCACTCTGGACGTCTCTTGCCTTTTGTTCCACCTCGCTGAATCTCCACGAGTCACGAGTTGCAGCTAGCAAAGGTCCTGAGGGCAGAGCCCAAGTTTTTATCCACTTTTCATCACAGCGCCCATGGATTTGGGCGCGCCTTGTGACTGCCTGAAGGTTCATGGCAGTGGGACTTTGTATAGGAGAGAATTAAACGCTCATCGTGCGGCGCGACAACACTGGTAACGCCCGCAACCATGGCGCCTTCTCCCTCTTCCACCTCGTTCTGCTCTGACCATCTTTGTGTGTCTTTCAAGGCCCTTGCCGTCTCTCTCCAGCAACAATGTCGCCTCCGACTACCGAGAGATTGCTCTCGTCGACAACCAGGTCTGACACTAACTAGTGTGTGGAGTTCGACTCTCCTCCCATGCGGGCGGGCGGTCTGGTTCGCCTCTTTAGTGGTGGATGCGAAGTGGCTGGAGTGCGGACTGGATCATGCGAATGTGATGCGAATATGATTATGCCCGCCGGTAAGTAATCTTCTCGACAATTTCTGTTTGTCACACTCAAAGGTTATACAGATCATACGTGCTACTAAGACAGGATAATGAGTGATGCTTATACCACCATCGTGGAGAATAGAGTTCTGTTGTATCGTAGCAAGTATTCCCCATTCAACTCAGGGACTCCTCGACCTCTCTATACCTTGTTTTTGCGACGATGATCGCCTCTCTCTATAGAGCGTCCCTCCTCGCCAACTGCGTTTACTTTCAGGTTCTCCAGCCATGAGAGAGCGGATAAAGATTTATGGCACAGCCCATATCATTTCATCATAGCGTGACGGAGCAGGCGCCTAACGCACCTCGACCTCACTATACCTAAATAGTACTCGATTTCAGTTGCTGTGGTGACAGGAGAATGGAGGTTAACAGCAATGGACTACTTAAGTGTCCCGGTGGCTGATCACGGTCCCGACTGCTCGTTCTCCCATTGACAGAGGGAAATGAGCGGCTGATACAGGACATGATTATCGTTGATTGGCTGTATTCTGGGGTGAAGAAAAATACGATTCGTGGACATGTGCAGAAAGAGTCATTAGGGTCTGTTCACATATACGCAGACTCCCAAGCATCATTTCGTCGTACTCAATGGTCGCGCACCATGACATGAACAGCAGTCCGACTTAATTGATATCTGGAATGAAAGGCCACAGGTTTAGCGAACATATCGGCACTTCCCTCAAACAAAAGTCTCGTCAGAAGCTCGCGTTTGCCCGAAGCGGGTAAGTTGCCACTCGCCCTAATCAAGAGATTGACAGCTTAAATGTTTTGGATCTTTCCTAGTTTCCCTTCTACTGCCGTGACCTCCATCGAATGAATTTCCTTTGACTGCCCACGATGCCGGTGTAGGGGGCTCAAGCGATGCTACTAATCTGGGTCTGCAGGTTTGTAGTGGCGTGACGACAGATGCGTACTCATGACTGTTATACTCCCGTCAGAGAGGTACGTCTTTCTTGTTCGAAACAGCAGTCTTTCAATATTCGCTTGCGGCTTACGTTTAGTAAAGATAATTGTGCATTTCCCTAGATCCCTGTACACGTACTTGAATGTACCTCGTGCGAGCTAAGTCACCACTGCTGAATTGAACGGAGAGCTTGGCAGACAACAAGTAAGGGGGGTCGCCGCCTTATTTTTGTTTAGCGAGTCTCCTGATTGTTTTATGCTCAAGTCCGTACTACTACTCCGACTCTAAACTCTCGCACGTTCGAAGGCATTACTTCCTGTCGATTCGCGTTCACATCACAGGTTGTAGGTCGAGATGCTCTTAGATCATAGTGTCAGGAAAGGTTGGAAGGGCTCGATAGTTAATGGTAGGACACACAGGCCATGGTGCAAGTTCAGGTGTTCAGTCCGGTGCTTCTCTCGATCCGTGTCTAGGGTTTTTTCTATGGAATCATGAATGCTGTAAACCCTATACATACATTGTGGGTCTACGGAGCCTTGGGTGGTCCTTGGAGTCATGCGCCAACACAAAGAATCCTCGTATTCATTTACTCTGAGTTTTGGTCATTCATCTACAACAATATAAAACCCAATCCTTCGCTTCTTGGCATCCTCACATTTCCCCTCCTAAAGTCACCAGCGACATCGACAACTGACAATCATGTCTCAGAACTACACCGCTCAAAGCCCGGCTACTGGGTACTATATCACTAGCACCGCGTGTGATGTGCCCGGCCAGATTGTCGCTACAGCCGACGGTAAGGGCGGCATCCCTGATGGTGCTGTGAGTTGTGGTTCAGGAGTAGCCTCTAATGCTGACCGACCTCGTCGCAGACCTTGACCTTCAGCCAGGCTCTTCAACCCGCCAGCACCGATGTCACCATCAAGGGTGTCAATGGATTGTATGTCGTGTTGCCTGAGGTATTTCCATTCCACCCTTCGTTCGTCAACTCTTTCCAATCAAGAATACAACAGAACCCTGTATCCGGTAGTAAGCTTATCTGGTCTAGCACGCCTATGACCTGGCAGGTCGATGTCACTCAGACCGGGCCCTACGTGTAAGTCGGTGATTATACTAGTTGTACCAGACTTTCCGTTAAACTTCTGTCAGGATTGTTCCCAAAGGTCTGGACTTGTATTGGTATACGGGGAGCGACATTGGCCCAATCGTAAGTCTGCTGTCCTTGCTGAGAATAATTTGGGGATTAAATTGTCTACAGGTTGAAGTCAAGAGCGGAGCGCAGATCGTAGGGACGGAGAACGAGTGGATCATCGACACGGCTAACTAAGAAGAGTGCACCAGTGCATAATATTCAACAGTTGTTGATACCGTTTGTACCCAGATTCCAGTGATGACATGTTCGTGTAAGAAAATCGATATTTGTGCTTCCGCGTGTTTCTTGCTATCAGTTGGATCCTCGTGTGACTTCTAAGTTGTCCGATCTCTTGGAGTGCGAACACTGTACTGTCAAGACCGTTCATGGTCTGGTGGAAGACCGGGCATTCATTAGAGAAAGAAATTTGTGGATGTTCCGCCTGTTGTGCCAGTGAAGAGCGGTGCGATAGTATAAGAGGAGCTCGTCTGTTGCGATACTTGAGATCTAAATTTCATCTCTCGCTTTTACTAATCAGCTTCGCTTTTAAGAATCGGTCTTTTGGCTTTAGTTTATGGAATAAATCGATAGGTCTTGACATCGTTTCAATTTACTTATCCTTAGCTGAGTTCATGCCATAGTTCTTTAATTTGTTTGAAATTGGGTACCTGACGACTCTTAGTTCATTCCGACTGTCATTAAGTATCGCACTCACAAAACTGCACCCAGAGGGCTAAACGCGAAGATACTTAATGCAAACGACATACCGTGGGAACATTTGCTTCTTCGGAACATGCCACCATCTTCAGAATAAGAACCTCCTCCCGACTCATTCCCAACAACGAAACTTGAAAGCCACCTGGCAGGAAGGATTTAGAGCCCTTTTGGCATATGATCTGGCTTCCTCGTCCTCTGGATTCGAAGAAAACTTGGGAACTCAGACGATGGCACGCGTATATGGAGCATGTCCGTGAGGCAAGTGGGCTAGTAATTTCGTCAGCTAGGACGTACTCACGCACACCCAGATAGACAACGCGCCAGGATTACCTAACATCTCTCGCCTTGTATTCCATCTCGCTGAATTACCACACCACTACGAGTACCAGCAACGGAACCAGCGGTAGCCATAGCATCGGCGATATACATTTCAAGCCCGCTGCTCTACCGTACACGTCGGTGGTGAAATCGGTTATCGCCCGTACCTTACAAGTCCTCAGTTCGATTCTGGGTCGACTCATTCGAGTTCCCTGGTTTGTCTTTTCCGCCCAGTGCCTCGTGGACACTGCAATTCTGAATCGATCGAGGGTCAATAGACAGGTCACCATAATGCCTTGTCAAAACTTGAGGCATTGACACCGTCTTGCTTATCGATGGCAACAGTACAATGTTCGAACTTGAGCACCGAGTAACGAATACCACCCAATTTTTTTGTCTCCATCCCCGGGTTATGCGTGTGGCTTCAAGTCGAATAGTAGAAACGTATTGTGAATGTTTGGAACATAAAGCATTACTATGCCGAGCGTGGTACCCAATGGATTCCTGGATTTTGAGAACGATGCTTCCGGCCGCTGTAGGGCTCCGTTTTCCTCAGATACACCATGGAAGTAGCGAGCCCATCGTTGTGCTGCTCAATTGTTATGTATAAACAACTCCAACAGTCGCTCTAACCTTCTCCCTCCCAGTGTCTCACAGTGAACTGTGAGAGCTCAGTCTCCCCCTATGTCCTGATGACTGATGGTACTTTCCTTCATATCCACAACCACCGGTATGGAGAGCGGACTGCGTGCTCTTAGAGAGAAGGCACAAGATCTTGGCGAAAGTGACCTTTATTAACAACTTGACCATGCATTCACGCAGAGGAGGATTACAATTCCAATTTATTGGGCGCCTTCCACTTATAGCCTGTTGGGTCGATGGCGTAGCTGGTTATTGCATCTGTCTAACATGTTAGTATTCCAACTAGATCATTTACACAGAAGGTCCTCAGTTCGAACCTGGGTCAACTCAATTTTGAGACTTGCAAGCTCATTTTTACATCCATTTGGAGCAATATCTGTTACCTTCTATCGAGGTCAGAAGTTAGAACCCTCCGAAGCGAATTCTATGATCTAAGTGTGTTCTGCGAGCATAGTTTCCCGTTTTCGATACATTTCACATTAATCGTCCACTCGTTCGTGGAATTGTTGCCATCCAGTCTGATGCCTGTCCTCTATTACACCTATGATACAGTATGATACATATCCTCGCAGTAAACCAGTTACTATCTATCCGTGATGTTCATAAAGAATAATGGGCGTTATGAAGTGACAGCGGCAGCAGGAACGAGAGAAATGATCGTAGCTGCGGAGGAGGAAGCCACTTCCGCGTCGGTGGCACTGACAGCTGGGGAGGCGGTGATGACTGAGCCACCAGCCACGCCCGTCAAGCTCGCGAGAAGACTCGAGGCTTCGTCGGGAGACAGCGTCGTCGTGACGGGCACCTCGGTGCTCACGAACACCGTCGCAGTGGGAGTGAGGGTTATGGTCACGGTGACGATCCCGCTATCGTCGGCGGCGGTACCAGACGCGGTATCCGTGGAGTTGGCGCTGGTCGTGGAATTGGACGTGTCGGTGCCATTGCCAAAGATGCCTCCGGTGGCCCCCGTAGCATCGATCACGGACGTCGCGTCCTTCTCGCTCGTGCACTGTAAGAACTACATGCTAAAAGTCAGCCCCGGGTAATCAATGAAAGAAAACAAGCCACGCACGGTCCCGTTCCCCCTCACAGATGGAAGAGCGAAACATTGTGCTGAGCCCGAACAAGGCGATGTCGCCCACTGGCTATCCGCACACTGAGCCACTTCGCTGGATATGCATGCTACTTCGCCCGCTAGAAGAATAAGAGCATGAGTATGAAGACAACCCGGGGAACGGAACGGGACGTACTGGAGCACGTATCATTGGCGGAGAGGTTCTGAAAGGCGACGTTCTGGGACTGGGCAGCCTGGCCGTTCGCGAGGAGGGCAGAGGCATCGAGGGAGGCTGTGGGCGCCCCGCGCGAGGAGAAGAAGAGAGCGGAAAGAAAGAGAATGGAAGAAAGCATCACGGACAAGAAGCACCAGGCTGGATGAAAAGAAGAAGAAAGGTGAAGAGCATTGCACACGGCGAGGTTTTTATACGCGCCATACGAGAACAATAAACAAAAAAGAGTACAAGGTCCTCTTTGTTCCCTTGGCAGGCCTTCGGCAAAAGCCGATGAAGAAATACCGGGCCGAGCCAAGGCTCTTTAGCCACCAGAATCACCTATATTTCTTTCAAGCTACGTATATTATCTGTGTATTCATCTCATTTCGGCGGCCATACCACCATCTTGCTCAGTCACCTCTAGCCTCGACTTGCATACGGACACCTAGCTTGAACAGTTCTAGTCTCGCCAAAGCAGGGCTGCTACCGTGACACCTCTTGTCCAAGACCAACATTAGATGCTCGGTCTCCGTAGCCAGCATCGCATCGACAATACTTTGACATGGGAGGAGTTGTCACGTCCCACCATGGGTCTCCAGTCGCACGAATTGAGATGCTAGGCTTTCGGCTAAGCTGGCTAGTCAAATCAAGTAGTAACGAACTATGGATTCCAGCGTCAGACTCTTAACACGTTGGTGATAATGACTGTGTCGTTACTCTAGATATTGCTCTGGTAAGTTTACGCACAATTACATTCATTAGACTCGTTTACCTTCGTTCTAGGTTTCTTTGTTGTTCGCGTATTGGTTCACAAAGTACTTGAGGGACGTGGTTTCCTGAGATCAGATCGTCAGGAGTTATGTCACCAAGAAATCAACATCGCCTTGCCATCATGGATGGCCATTTTACACGCACTGCACGTGAAGGCAAGCTTCTCCGGGTTTCACACGAAGGGATAAGCTCCCTTTCATCCCCAGCGTTTCGACGTCACTATCGCCGAGTTTCTTTCCGGTGCTAGGACCTACAGAGTAAAGGCAGATAGGTTGGTCTGTAATAACTTTGACTGACTCTGTTCGTGCCTTCGCAGGAGGAGGATAGGCGTTGCTATGCGCTGGTTTCATCGAAACGATACACAGCGACTCCGCAAAGAGGCTCAACAACAGAAGCAGGGGCTGACTCTACAGCAGCAACAAGAAACAGCTGTACGGCGACGGGAGACAGCGGTAAGCTATGAATCAAACACATCTGCGAGTAGTAGACGCTAAGTGTTCTTCATGCCAGTACAACAGCGTTGTCAAAGTCACTATATCTTCGCTCAGTGAGAGTGGTAGAGATTCATCAACTGTCGCGGTCTCCAAGCAGCGCATATTCACCGGCTCGGTACCCATCATCTCCTCTGTTCTGGCTGATCTTCCCTGCAGTGCGCTTGGAGTACCCGGCTTGCTTGCTCAACTCAACGTCATACTTGGAACCTCTTATAGTCTGCAGAATACACCCAACCTCTCACACCTTCTTGAACACTGTATCTCCCAAAATTATGATTTTGGGACTGCCTTTGCTCGTCTCCGACCAAGATGGTTCGGAGACTGGAACACCATCCTAGATGAGATGCGGATGGATGAAAGAAAGGACACAGCAATGCGAGCAGCGGCAATAAAGAACGATCATATTGTCCATCCACACCTGCCGCCCCGACGGGTGTGGGACTTGTACAGCAATCGTGTTGTTCCGTGGTGGATTGTCTTCGCAAGGATCAGATGGGAGTCACGGCATTCACTGCTTGGATACATCCAAAGAATATCTCATGCGTGGGTAACAGAGACAGACCGCGTCTTCGCAACGACCACTATTAACGGCAAGGAGTGGCCAGTCCCTCTTCCTTGGGACACCGACCTCAACCTTGTCCGTATCGAGCTACTCAATCTCCTTGTGGAATACGCTTGGTTGGACGTACTCTGTCTAAGACAGGTATCTCCAGATCCATTGAAGGAGGAGATGCGTATAGACGAGTGGCGATTGGATGTACCAACTATTGGGTCGGTGTACCAATTGCACCCGAACTTAAACAAAGACACCCAGGTTATATGCTACCTTAACGGCTTAGGACGCCCTCTGGATTCCGACGTTGACTTGACGAGCAACCGTAGTTGGTTCAGACGAGCTTGGACTGTGCAAGAGCTCAGTGCCAGCTATGTCATAAGCGGGATCACAGATACGGGGAATCAAGAAGCGGTCGCTAAAGCCCAAAGGCAGTTGTCTCTTGTCTGGGAGGGCGTACGACCCAAAGTCAGAGGTACAAATCTTCGCACCTTCCGCGTGCTGACTCAGATGCGAGGGAGGATTTCATCCAATCCAGTGGACCAAGTAGGAGGGCTCGCCTTTCTTCTGGTGTCACGCGTGATACCGGCATATCACGCAGCCCAGAGCGCCGATGATGCATGGGCGACGTTGGTCGCGACGATGGACCCCTGGCATAGAGCCATTCTTTTCTTCCTTTACCCTGCCCCAGGATATCGTGATAGAATCACGCAATGGTGGCCATCTTGGGACCAGGTCATGTCTGATTCTATTTCACTTCCCTCGACCGATGGAATCTGGGTGGCTGCCCGCGTGAGGAGGGATGGCGATGGAAGTATTGATACTCTTCGGTGCTCTTGCATTGAATCGGGATACCTTCAAGGCCTGGCACAAGGGGAGTCAGAGATTCCAAGGTGGGGGCGGCTGATGATAACATCTGAGGGAGGTGTCCAGCACTCTCGAGGTTGCTGCCACCCACCAGTGGCCAATACCAGACGGATTTTACGCCCTGGTTGGTACTCCAAATTACAGCGAGTTTTGGGTAGTTGGACAGTTCACGAACGGTCGATTTAGTAAGGTTTCGGTCGTTCGATTGGCGGTTGAAGGCACGAGAGAACAAATTCAGAAATTATATCGAGGACAGAAGGACTTTACAGTTCGCCTTACTTGACGTCTTGTCATTCTGGTGAAGGATTACTAACAATCCCACCGAAGAATATGTTTACCTTGTAGTTGTAGTAATCAGAATTACGGGGTACGTATAAGCTGCAAAAGTTCAGTGGTTGGTTACTCCAATCATTGTAGCCTTGGCCGCTTTCCGGGTCTCGTCGTTGCTGCTTCCTCATCGATGCATAGCTTTGTTGGGACACAGTGACTTCTCTAGCATTCGCGGGCACTTATGTCGTGGAATTCGACTCTCCCTCGGTATGTATCATATCTCATATATGGCGGCCTCTAAGTGATTTGTCCCTCTCAGCAATTTCCACAAACCTAAGCCAACAATTCGAAACGTTACTGAAATACTAAACCATCGACTCAAAGTAAACGGCTCGGCGTGTTTTTCGCAATGAAAGGGAATCGGCGACGCATCTCTCGCTTGCGCGCGGCACCACATCTCGCCAACGGCCGACATTGCTGGAGAGACAACACGTCGAGGTTGAAATCTGGATTGGGCACGATATCATTGCTCGTCGGGGTGTGACCCCCTCACCGGACGTCCGGGGTTTCGAGGAGTAAGGAGGACATTCAGCGTTCACTGGAGAAGCGCGGTAGCAATGTTATCGACCTTGCTGGCTGGAAGAAAATCCGAGCATGAGTCGACCCAGGTTCGAACTGAGGAACTTCTGTGAACGTCAACCAGTGGATAACCAGCTACGCCATCGACCCAACGAAAGTTCGGTATGGTTGCTTTAGGTGTATCAGTGAAGACTCAGAGAGCTGTGCCATTGATATTGGTCTGGACTACAATAATACAACATCAACGAAAGGACGGAGAGTGGTAATCAACGCTAAGTAGACACATGTTAGGGTTGCCAAACAAGTCAAAGAACCAAACCTCACCAGAGCGCGTCGAGTACAATGCCAAACCCGCTCCCTGTGCGCGTAGCACGTTTACTCGCTGTCAACCAAGCGGTTAGCCTCCAGCGTGTCGACATGAGCAACATACTCACAGGAGCGACAGAGTATCACCGTTGACCTTGGCCTGGATGGGGATCTCGACCTCGAGGTTGAGGTCAAGGCGGAGCTTCACGGATGCTGTCTGTCCGCCGAGGACAGAGGAGGATTGGGTAGGTGCGAATTTTGTCTTTTATACAAGCTTAGTGGTATTATGAATGGCGCGATGTTAGTTTAGCCTGTTAGGGACGCGGGGTGAGGGCGATGCTATGGCTTGCGCGATGGTGCACGGTGCATTTAGCAACTCGAGTGCCTCGCCGTCACATTAGATGAGAAACGAAGACTGTAGAGAGGTCCGGGTTAAGTTGTGGGTTGTCATTTTCATGCACGTACCAAGTGCAAAATTGGCATCAGAGATGGCTGTTGGCGAGAGCGCTCATTCCCTAGCCGAAAATGAAACTGATGCAGGAGAGAGAGGTGATTACAGACTGCCGGAGACGGGAGATGGGGAAGACATATCGATGTCAACGCAGGCTATCTGTCGGTCCCATTGTATCTTGGTTCCAGCGATTAGGCATAGATTCCCTGATGAACGGACTCGTAGAAGTATGCGAGGTGAGAAACGCTCCGAGCGCATTATAGCAAGACGATCCAGACGCGTCGTTGTTATCTGTGCGCGCGTGAGTACGTCCTATCCGACGATATTACTAACCCACTTACAACCAGCACCTCAGTAAAACAAGCACCCCTAGGATCAAATACTCGTGTCAAACCAGCAAATCAGCCATGTCTCGGGCCATCCTCTACGATAGAGTACACAGCACTCTTTATTTAGAGCTTCCCTTGAGTACGGCAGGTAGAGATGTCGGATGGGTTACTCACCAACAGACATGCTTCCATTGCGCGCGAGCGCCCCACATCTAAACATAAGACATCGTCTGAAATCGCGATATTTCTTCATCGATAGTGCCGGACGAGGTGAAATGGCTCCAAATCAATCCAGGCGACGAGCTTTGGTTGTTAGGAAGAGGTGATTTTATTCTGGAGATGGTGGTATACTCCGAACATACAAATATTCCCACGGTATGTGTCGCTGCGCTATCTTCGTGTATCGACCCTCCGACTACAGTCTTATGAGTACGGTATTTAATGGCAGTCCGGCTTACTCTTGTGTAAGTCCAATGCATATTGATAGGCTATCAAGCAAAGAAAAACTCAAGGTCACCCAAAATAAAAATAGTTGTAAGTCGTTTAATTCCAAGCAAACGAAAAGACTGCGACATGAACATAGCTAAGAATCATTCGACTAATACTTGAGGGACTATCGCATTAAAATTCTGATTCCTAAGACGAAGCAGGTTAGCAAAAGCACACAATGAAATTTAGATCTCAAATACCGTATCAGATATAAAGACCCTTGTAGTCCTTGGACACGTACACCTTCAAAGAGTCGACGGTAGCAGAGAAGTTCTTCACGGTACTGCCTTTGAGAAGCCATGACTCCTCGTCCTCGATATTCGCCTCCAACTTGATGGTAGTCACTATACAGCAAAAATAATTGCGGAGGTACTCATTGGGGAGCGCAAAACATAGCCTGCACTCCCACGAGCTCCTCTGAGTCCCCTCCTCGGTCGACGGGTAGAAATCCGTCACCCCTTTCTCCTTCTTCTCCTTCAAGTGGGTGAACGTCGCCTCAATGCTCGTCTCCAACTTATGTAGGTCTACACCCGCTCGGAGGGCACCGTCGAGGAAAGTGGCGATCTTCTTCGCCATCCTAGAAACCGTGACATGACTCTGAGATATGACGGTGCTCCTGAACAGAAAGTTCGCGAGGTCGAGAGCCTGGTAGCGATCAATGGCGGCTCTGAAATCCTTCCAGTCGAAATGTTTCCTGCCAGTCGTGTCGTCGGATTTGACGTAACGGCCTGGGAATTTCATGAATTTTACGCTGACGGGTCTGAGGTTTTCGGGAAGGTTGGAATACTGGTCAAAGGCGAGCTCGGCTACGTAGCAATGTTTATGAGGAATGGAAAGGAAGGACAAAGAGGCCGACGGACAATTAGGGCTGAACGTGTCCCTGTTAATAAATGAGGTCAGATTCGTCCGGTGAAGATGAAAAGGTTGAATACTTGGAAGACATTAAGAAATAGTGCTTGTCGATGTGAAGGCGAGTTTTAGGAAAGGGTTTGAGGCCTAGCGTGGAAGGAGTGCTCTAGGCGACGTGGTGAAAGGAGAAACCAGGGGTCATAATTTGAGACCAGCATCGAAAGATCTTTGGAATCGTAAACAAAGACTCGTAGGGTCCGGTCTGACGGGTCTTCAGCCTCCTGGAGTGAAAACGCGAGAGGCAAAGTTCGGATTTGCAGGAGTAGCCTGAACCATGTGCAAGATGTCTGTTATCTATTCAAACCGAGCACAAGCACGAGGGCCAGAAGGACACCTATTATACATACGTATCCGTCGCGCCTTGAGCCTTAGTCGCAAACCTGAGACCATCTTGAAGCTCGTTGTAGGTAGGTACTACACGGCAGTGTCCATCGTGCGAGCAATTTGGAGGTAGATCGAGACGAGATGAGGCTCGGAATATCGAGGACCGACTAGGATGCATCAAAGCTCGAAGTTGTACAAAGAAAAGAAGATCGAAGACTGGCACGTGCTAGTGTGAATCTCTCTTTCAATTGTACGACGACGACAAGCCGGGATGGAGTTGACTGTTCATCAGGCCGGTGTGCTTTTTTCGTTCGATTGATCATATGCGTGGTGGTTCTGAGGCATCCAGCAGATCAGGGTGACGAGATGCCCGCCTGGGCCGCTGCTATGGAGAAGAGACTGACCAAGCAACTGGTTCAGATAACTGAGCGCTTCGAGGCTCAGTTGCAATTGGGGAAGCGACACGGGCGAATTGACAAGCGAGTTAACGAGCATGAAGGATGGGTTGGCGAACATCGACAGCCAGTTGACGACCATCGACAGCAGGATCGATGGCCGTTTGATGAGGACCAATTCGGAGTCGTTGGACGGAACGCCTCATCAGGATCGAAACCAATGTTGCTAAAGCTCGTCACCGTGACTTGGAATCCTACCAACTGACTTTCTAACCTTTTGTCCAGACCATTAATCATTCCTGCGGCGATGGCACCAGCATGCCTTACGAATTAGTACCTTCACCAGATGGGAAATATCTTCATGGCGACTCGGAGCAGGTAGGCCAGATCCGACGTTACCTTGCCCGTCGAGGCTCAAGTACTTGATTGCTTAGGATCTACCGGAGTTGCGCACATCCCGAGATTTGCTGAACGTCAGTGATGTCCAGTTGCACAGGTATCTCAATGGATACGGACTGGAATATGGGCACGACACCGCACGTAATGAAAAGCTCAAGCCTCTGTGCAGTTACATCGGAGGTTCTTTGGAATAGACGTCCCAGGGCAGGAAAAGAGTATTTGGCTCGGACAGACATACATTCAGAGACGAACATTTGAATATTTGTGGTAAGCAGCATAAAACAAACATCGCACAGCCGGCGCGTCGTGTCGTGTCTGGCGGCGTTTAGGGGCAATATTATTGTTTTGAGTTTCGTGTCAAACAACAGTTGGGCTTCGAAACAAGACCCTGGTCTTAACTTCAGCAAAAAGAAAAACATCAGACAGCGGCATAGTGAGTCGACCAAAGGTGGAACTGAGGAAGAAGAAAGGTGTTTTCCGTGTATCTCAATGTTGGGCCTCTACTGATTTCGACTTGTAGGAGAAGAAAAACCGATGTGGAGGAAGAAGAGGCTCAGCGCGTCACAGAAGGCATTGTTCCAAGGGAAAGACGGGGAACCTAGATGCAACAAAGCGAAGAAGGCGAAACACGAAAATACTGCAGGCACGGCGAAGAGAAAAAGCCCGGCTGCAAAACGAAGTACAGCGTGGATGGGTTGCGTGTGCTGTTCTCGGTTAGTTCTTCGTTGTTTTGAAGCTGGCGTAAAGTCTTTGCTCAATGTTGCTTTGACCGCTCACTGCAATTAGAAATGGCTCATCGTTTGGTCGTTGCTTGCTCCGTTCCTTACGACTATTGAAGTTCAACTCGCCGAGGGCGCCTTTTGCATCGCACGACCCCTCCAAAAAGACGACCGTCTACGAATGTCTTTCTCCAATGTATGCCCCGTGTCGCTGACCAGGCCATAGATGGTCTTGATATACAGTCTTTGCGCTAAACGAGGCACTGCACAAAGAGAATCAAGTTACTAGTCACGGTGGGAGCCAACCGATGCAGACATAAGCACAAACGTCGATTCTCTCCATACGAACATGTCACTACCGTAATCTTGGAAACACTTAGTACAAACGGAAACACTGCAACTGTTGAAGCTAGCACTGGTCCGCTCTTCTTAGTCGACCTTCTTGATGTACCACTGGTTCTCGTTGCCTACGACAAACTTTCCTTGCTTGACTTCGACCTGTATACGACCAACCATCAAACTCGCCTTCTCGGTAAGGGTGTGGGAGACATTAGACTTACGCGGCTCATGGTTTCGCTCGTAAACCAATATAAGTCCCAGCCTTTGGGAATAATCCTGACAGACCAGACGGTACATTTAATGGAGAATCTGATGCAGGTAGCCTACTGACTCACACATAGACCCCAGGAGAAGTCATTTGGACCTGCCAGTCCACAGCGTCCTTAGACCAGGCGAGTCGTGGAGGAAAAGGCCGGACAGGGCTCTGTTTGTATGCGAGGTTGGAAAGAGTCGACGATCGAAGGGTTGAAGGTAATTACCCATCCGGCATACAATCCACTAATGCCCTTGATGGTGACATCGGTGTTATTGCCGGGTTCGAGGGCCTTATTGAAGGTCAAAATCTACGGTGTGGTTGGTTAGTATTAGTTATTATTCCTGAACATTAACAACAACTCACAGCGCCGGCAGGGATGCCGCCCTTAACATCGACTGTCGCGATTTCCGGGTTGGGTACGTTCGAGTCATCCGAAGCGCTAGTGACATAGTAGCCAGTTTGAACGCTTTGAATGGTGTAGGTATAGCTTTCAGGCATGCTTGTTAGTTGTTGATACTGCTGGTGAATTGAGGGAGGGAAGTGTGAGGATCCCAAGAGTCGAAGGATTGTGGTTTTATATAGTTCTAGGTGAGTGACCAAGACTCGGAGATATGAAGATGACGCTCATTTGTGTTGACATATTTTTCTAAGGGTTACTCAAGGCACCGTCGACCCAGAATATATGTATAGCTTACAGCATGCTATAGAAAAATATCATGATTGTACGGCGATACTTCACTCCGAGGGGTGTCATTCTATGCTTCTGTGGATGAGTGACGTTGGGTAAGCAATCGTTTCTGGGCACGCATGGACTATACAAGACTTCGACAATCAAGTACGTGGGTACGTCGTCTTGCATTCTATGGAGCTTTCATATAAATTTAGACATCGTTACTCCGTCAGTGTCGGCTTCGTCCAATTGCTGAGCACTCCAGAATCAAAGGGGATCTCTACCATCCCCACCCTTCAGTTCTTCTTTGCGACCGCTATCTCAAAGACAGTGGGGGTGTGTCTTTAATTTCATTGCCACCAATCCCATACCTGTCGCAGTTTGCAAACTGTCTCAACCTGAAAATTATCGACGACGATGCTAACGTTTTACTTCAAATACTACTTTGGGATGGCATTCCACCGGGCAGAATACTTAAAATTGGACGTTAACATTCATCACTTCACGCAAGGTTGGTGCCCCGCTATTGTGACTGCGATGAAGAAGCACATGTGCACGTGAAAATTGCAATAACTACATTTAGTGAGGCTTGTAATAGGATCACAGATGGATGATGCTTTGACAGGGTCCTTGCGGGCCTTGCACCTGTGGGGTCACGCGCACCAAACTTGTTGAGCCTATGCCATTGGAGCCGGAGTACTTGTGGAGTGGAAGAAGAGTTAGTCATGCTGACTATTGATTCTCTTTTTACAGAGGGCTTGGGGTTTCGGAAAATGTGAAGCGCGCCAGGAGGTCCAAGGGGTCATGTATTAGTCCTACACGACGGCGGAAGGCACCAAGAACGGCCGTTAGAGAAGGTACAGTTTCGTCACGAGCCCAAAAGGTCGTGACATTGTATATTGAACATCTAATTGTAATGATAAGTTCCCAAAATGCACTTGAAAGACGAGATAATTTTATAGGTGAAGAAAAATAATGGGGGAAAGGCGTCCCCGTGTTCAGCACGAAGAAACCCACTTCGCATTTAGAGATGAGAATGTTGTCGGTACATGACTAAAGAGGGCCTTATTTTAATTCATTCCCTGTGAACGCAGAAAAAGGAAAACTCGACGAGGCCTTGAGGAGTCATAGCAATTTTAGAATAGGAAAACGAGCCAATCCCAGTGGCAGCAGTCAAGGCACATACATGTATCTAGACCTGGTCTTGCACATTCACTCCGAGTTCCTCGCACCTCAAAGCCCGGAGTTCCAATGGATTGGAACATGTGCTGAGATCTGTCAAAGAAGTTCGTTTGTCATCACCTCACAATTGATGAGAGGGTGCTTAGCGTTCATATTTTGAATACGCTTGGATGGTACCATAGTGGAGCAGCATCTACAGGTGACCTCTGCTATTTGTTCAAGGAGGAAGAATCACCGGGGTGTCGCAAGAATAGAGTTCTGAGTTTAGGTAAGGTTCAAAGTCGGATTCGCATCGAGGTTGCGTGTTGTAGCTGTCTCTGTATGAAGGGTACATGATATAAACGCACTGCGACCAAGGAAACTACCCCGAGAAAATGCGGGGAGATGTGAACCATTAGAACTATTACATTGGTGTACGCTTCTGGACTTGAGTTCTAGGGTTCTGTCGTGATGTACAAGAAGTCAAGGATGAGAACTTTCGGATTGGAACATCGCCATACGATCACGATATTTTTCTATAGCATGCTGTAAGCTATACATATATTCTGGGTCGACGGTGCCTTGAGTAGTCCTTAGAAAAATATGTCAACACAAATGAGCGTCATCTTCATATCTCCGAGTCTTGGTCACTCACCTAGAACTATATAAAACCACAATCCTTCGACTCTTGGGATCCTCACACTTCCCTCCCTCAATTCACCAGCAGTATCAACAACTAACAAGCATGCCTGAAAGCTATACCTACACCATTCAAAGCGTTCAAACTGGCTACTATGTCACTAGCGCTTCGGATGACTCGAACGTACCCAACCCGGAAATCGCGACAGTCGATGTTAAGGGCGGCATCCCTGCCGGCGCTGTGAGTTGTTGTTAATGTTCAGGAATAATAACTAATACTAACCAACCACACCGTAGATTTTGACCTTCAATAAGGCCCTCGAACCCGGCAATAACACCGATGTCACCATCAAGGGCATTAGTGGATTGTATGCCGGATGGGTAATTACCTTCAACCCTTCGATCGTCGACTCTTTCCAACCTCGCATACAAACAGAGCCCTGTCCGGCCTTTTCCTCCACGACTCGCCTGGTCTAAGGACGCTGTGGACTGGCAGGTCCAAATGACTTCTCCTGGGGTCTATGTGTGAGTCAGTAGCCACCTGCATCAGATTCTCCATTAAATGTACCGTCTGGTCTGTCAGGATTATTCCCAAAGGCTGGGACTTATATTGGTTTACGAGCGAAACCATGAGCCGCGTAAGTCTAATGTCTCCCACACCCTTACTGAGAAGGCGAGTTTGATCGTTGGTCGTATACAGGTCGAAGTCAAGCAAGGAAAGTTTGTCGTAGGCAACGAGAACCAGTGGTACATCAAGAAGGTCGACTAAGAAGAGCGGACCAATGCTAGCTTCAACAGTTGCAGTGTTTCCGTCTGTACTAAGTGTTTCCAAGATTATGGTAGTGACATGTTCGTATGAAGAGAGCCGACGTTTGTGCTTATGACAATGTACTCCTGCATCATTTATATCCCAGCGTGACTTCAAACGGGCGAGCATACATTCCGAGACGACTTGGATATCTGTGGTAAGCAGTGTAAATTACACATCGCACAGCCGGCGCGTCTTGTCACGTTTGGCGGCATTCAGTGGCGAAGGATAATCGATAAAAGCCCAGAATGTAAGAAGAGGATTCTCTTGTTCATGCCATGAGTCGACCTAGGTTAAGACACTTCGCAGGAGCGTATAGATGTGATAACCAGCTAGCGGTCCCCCATGTCGCCAACCGCCGACATTGCTGGAGAGACAAGGCGTCGAGGTTGAGATCTGGATTGGGCACGATGTCATTGCTAGTTGAGGTGTGACGCCCTCACCACGTCAGGGTTTTCGAGGAGCAAGGAGGACATTCATAGAGAAGCGTGGTAGCAACATAATCGGCAATCCTCACTGGAAGAAAATCAAGTCGTAGTTCGGGCTGACAAGATGGACCTGTACGCCTATCTCGTCTGACAACATTTCGTACCACCGAGGAAATTGATCTTCCCGCCGATCCTCACCATGTATGAACGACGCCACAAAAACTCGCGCATGTGCTTGAAGTGAGCTGGTCCTCTCATCAGTCCACCCCGTGCCAATTTGCTCGTTGTCCCACTGCCGTAGCGTCGTGCGAATGGAGAGTCGTCAATATCGCATGTTTTCTTCCTAAAACTTGAGGAGGGGGAAGGACTACGGTGTGCAAGCTTGCTGGTGGAAAACTAAGGATATCGCAAAAAGGTCGTGTACCTTCAACGTGCCCTGAGAAGTGAGGATTCCGTTACGTGACAGCATCAGTGTGAGATGATCGAGCCTCAGAACCAGCATCATGGCGGCCAGAACTGAGTCCAAAGGGGAAAGCACGTGAACCCGAAATAGGGAAGGGAGAAGGTCAAAGTATGCGTTGTGACTTGTCGAACTTTACAAGTGTTAACTTCACTGCTCAGTCAAGAAAAAATTGCAAAAGTCAGTACAGCAAGTAAGTCGACCCAGGTTTGAACTGAGGACCTTCTGTGTAACTATCTGAGTGGTTATCACAATGTTAGACAGATGCGATAACCAACTACGCCATCGACCCAATAAACAGTCAATGTAGTTGCTTCAGATGTATTACTTAGAACTCAGAAGACAGAACTGCACAAAACATTCATATTGGAATGGACTACACTCATACAACATCGACGAAAGAGCGGAGAATGGTAATCGACGCTAAGTAGATACACGTTAGCGTCGCCAAACAAGCCAAAGAACCAAACCTCACCAGAACGTGTCAAGCACAATCCCTAAACCCTCTCCCCGTGCACGTAGCACATTTACTCGCTGTGAACCAAACAGTCAGCCAGGAGGCACCCACCAGACAACAAGAACCAACTCACAGGAGCGACAAGGTGATGTCGCCATTGACCTTGGCCTGGATGGCAATCTCGACCTCGAGGTTGAGGTCAAGGCGCAGCTTCACGGATGCTGGTGGTGCGGGGGCACGCTCGGAGCGGCCGACGATCTGTCCGCCGAGGACAGAGGAGGATTGGGTAGGTGCGAATTTAGTTTCTGGGGCAGACATGGTGATGCTGAAGAAACAAAGGACGACTTGTTGGTCCCTTTATACGAGCTTAGTGGTATTAAGGATGGCGCGATATTGGTTTAGAACGACTATGGACCCGGGGTGAGAACAACGTTATGGATTGCGCAATGGTGCACGGTGCATTTAGCAACTCGGGTGCCTCGTCGTCGCATTAGATGAGAAGAGAAGACTGCGTAGAGAGCTCCGGGTTAAATTCGTGGGTTGTCATTGTCAAACACGTACCAAGTGCGAACACCCGGGTACCTCTTGGGTCGCCTTCTGCGGGAACGATCCGTGCTGGAAGTCGCCTGATCTTCTCCATTTGGAGGTGGAGCGACGAACGGGATCCTTGTCGTAACAGCCTAGAAGTAGGGCGTCTTCGAGAATAAAAAAAAACTTGAAAGTGTTCACGTTCATGCATCATGGGAGGAAGAGAAAGAGGCTCGACTCTCGAGTTCCCACGAATGTATTGATTAGAATCCTATGGCATCAGAAATTTTCCCGTGAACGAGGCAAAGCTGAAAACTTCCATGTATATTCAAATGAAATACCTGGTTACATGAGCATTCCCGGGTGTTGATCCAAGAGGCCGAGTACCCCGCAACGGTAGCCCAGCTAATATATAACAGAGCCCAACTTCACCGTTCTGTTCAGCATCATAATGTCTACCCCACAAACCCAATACGCACCTACCCAATCTTCCTCTGTCCTCGGTGGACCAGTCGTCGGTCGCTCTGAGCGCCAGGCTGTTGCACCCCCCGCAGCTTTGAAGTTACGCCTTGACCTCAACCTTGAAGTCGAGATTGCCATCCAGGCCAAGGTCAACGGTGATATCACTCTGTCGCTCCTGTAAGTGGATTGCTTCGTTTGGTCACGTCGGAGGGCTCATTAGTGGTTTTCAGCGAGTAAATGCGCGCAGCGCATTGGGAGATGGAGTCGGTGCGCAGTCGTCTGTTCGAGGTGAGCTTTGTCCGTTGGTGTGCTAGTTGGTGTGTGCTGATGCTCGTTAGGGCCATGTACCGGTTACATTCTTCTAGCAGTGTATTGGTGTCTGTACACCTATTAGATACCAATGTCACTGTTATTCTGAGATCATGCAATTGAGATTTTACCAACAACAGCGCGTGTGTTCCAATAGATTCGTCGACTAGGAATTTTTACCGTGATTGAGAGCATAGTGCAAGGGTGACTGTGTGCGGCATTTCCCGACACGTTTCTTTTCGGCACCACGTTCCACTATGAGTACCGTGTTCCTCTCGCTTCTCCCTTCACTGCGACCCAACATTGTCCTGAGAAGGACCAAATTCTTAGAGTGACGCTGTGGTGCGAGTGAGTTTGGTGTTACCATGATTCTCCTTTCATTGACCACCCAGCCAGGTTTGCCTCCTCGCTATCATCACGTACGCGACACACTCCTATGACACCATTCCTTGACGGACTCCGATCACAAGTGGGAACTGTTTGCTCTGGAGCACGAGATTGAGCTATTCGTTAGTCGTCGCAACGAAGCAACACTCGCCAGCCATGTCATTTTTTCCTCGCAATAGTTCGCTAATTCGAACAGACCTCACCGCTATGAAAGCCTTTGTTAGTCGTCATCGCTCCTCCAGTCTTCTCCTTTGGTTATGCAGAAAGATGCTAGTCCCTATCGAGTCTCTGCTCCCGAGTTAGTCCTGCTCCATATTCAGTTCTGCGGGACGACGACGAGAGTTCCATACTTGTGGATAAACGAATCCGATGCTTGCTTATTGGGCGTCTCTGGGCGTTTACAAACATCAGGAGTTTTCCTAGTCGCGCTCGTCACTCTCCTCCCTGTCCGCCCTCCAATGCCGGCGTATTCGTGTTCGTGGCTTACGTTTGATGGATGACTTGGACTGTCGAGTATAACGCGATACTCGTCCGTCACAACAACTGTAACACGCCCCTCCCCTCCCTCTTCCCCTAGGTTCATGCAAATCAATGCAACTTGCAAATGCCTTGGTCTGACAACCACTATTCGCTCTGCCGCTCCTCCCGCGCCGCAAAGCCCGTTCTCCTCTATCCCTCTCCATTCCAACATGTCAATATCGCCGTTCGACAGATGACGAGTTCGTGCAATCCATATACGGGCCCTTTCTGCGGCAACAACACTCGTGGATAAAAACATCCGATGCGTGGACTCGGGAGTTCGACTCTCCTGGGATGTATCCGGTGGGGACTCCTTGGCATCGAGAGCAGATACCGGTGTGCTAGGAGAGTTTCCATAACCTGCAACCGTCTCCTCCACTTTCTGGTACAGTCGTTCCCGCATTTCGCATTTACAAATCCGATACATAACCCACGCTATCGTCAACGAGAGGCTATTTCTCTCGAGACGCCGTATCCGTTTTTGCAACGTGGTTTTTTTTGCTTCTACCTTCGTGGATGAATGGGTCTAATGCTTTTGGCGTGGAGTTCGATTCTCCCCGAGGCATGATTCTGGACGTTTTCTGGGCAAGGGGCGTCGCGTCTCCATTTTACCAAGCATATTCACCATTCTGCGAAAGGGTTCAAGATGAGCCAGTTGGGAATCGGGTCAGTCCTCGTGTTGACTGTGTACCTCTCTCCTTTTGTGCTCAAGCCCCCCCTGTCGTGTCGAAATCGAGCGAAACCGCCCGTCCTTATCATAAAGTTTGATTATCTACTCAGAGCGGTTGACAAAAGTACAACCCCGGAACAGGCAACCACCATTCGTCAGCCATGTCTTTGTTTCATCCTGACTGCGCACCCTGACCCGTCGCCAACCTCACGAATAACCATAGGCGCCGTGCGGAACCTCGAGGCATCCTCTCCCCTTACGTTTTCTCTCTATAGAGTGATGTCAACACCCGTGCCTTGAGAGACGACAATAGGGACACCTCAGCGTTCCATTGAGGAAGCAACACGACTCGCTTTCCACAGTTCTGTGGCAGGCTTCGAGGATGACAACAAGAGTCCCACACTTGCGGATGAAGGGATCCGGCTTGGATTTCGACTCTCTTCAGATGATTCGCCTTCGAGAGCAGATATCGGCGATTCTTTCCTTGTATGCTTGAATTCAAACATCCGTGCTCGCAGTTCATCCCTCTCTGTGTGTAGCCCGGTATATCTTCTTTCCAAGTCGACATTCTCGGTCCTTCTTACAGGAGAACGTCGTACCTCAGAGTGCCCTCCCCGTTTGCTATCGTGTGATACCGCAGTTTTTTATATCCCACATTCAATACGTAACTCGCCACATTATCGTCCTTACCTACCGACGGTCATTGTCTCGACAAGGATACAACGCTAAAAGCACCATATATATTTCTACACTGTTGGCAGGTTCACTGCATGTCTCCATGTGCTTGTACAGTTCCACTCGCGGCGAAATGGGCCTGATGCTTTAGTGACTCTCCCGAGGCGTAATTCAGATGCTAAACTTTCTTCACAGGAGGGGGGGTATATCTTCCATCCCAGATCGTGCGATAGCCATTAATCGTTTTCTGCGACTGGACCTGGATTGGGTGATGAGGAACTGCAATGGTTTTTTTTGTTAAATCTAATGCATGACTACCGCGTACTCCGGTGGGAGACCTCGTGCTCATTGCTCCGTCTCCTCTTTTACTACATGGCTGAAAACGCCGACTGATTCGAAGCAATGGGAAGTACTACTACACCATCAGTTCACGGATCCGTAGAAGACACATAGCCGAGTTTGACAGACGCTCCGAGCCGACTTGAAAGTGATCCCCGAAGGAACTCTAATGTTGATATCTCGTAGGGGGACGAAAACCCCGGCATAATGCAAGCAAGAGGCGTGGGGAAGAAGGCATTCCGACTTGTAATTGCTCTACGTGCGAAAGCGAAAGCAAGGAACGAAGGAAACTGGAAACTTGTTGCTTCTGAATAACTGAAACTCGTACTCATTCAAGCCAGACATGATCCCCGAAAAAAAAGCAATGGTATTGATATTCCACAGGTATAAACGCTCGTAAATACTAATACGTTGTGGGTAAGAGAACGGAAGGAGAGAAGAAAGTTGTAGTCGTGACAAAGACGTAGATGGTTTCTGGTATCACGATGCTCAGCACGAAAAGTACGAAACCAAGGAACACTCCACTCTTACCTCAATCCAACCAATGCAATGTTACTCCTCCTCTCCACGTCCTTCACACGTTTACTGGCTAAAGATCACACAATCAGCTTCAGCAAGGTGGCAGAAGAAAACCGACTTACAGGAGCGACAAGGTGATGTCACCGTTGACCTTTGCCTGGATGGCAATCTCGACTTCGAGGTTGAGGTCAAGACGGAGCTTCAACGCTGCGGGAGGAGCAACAGCCTGGCGCTCGCGGCCGACGATCTGTCCACCGAGGACGGAAGAGGATTGAGTAGGTGCAAATTTGGTTTCTGGAGTAGACATGGTGATGCTGAAGAAACAAAGGTTGACTTGCTGGTCCTTTTATACGAATTTCGACATCCTCCTACCCGGATTAGGATGAGGGGCCAGAGCAACCTTGTACGCAATAATTCGTGCGACCGA